AGCTAATAGCCTTTACATTGCTCAGTGACATTCATTAAAATTAATAATGGTGATAACTTAAAGTATTCAGGTATATATATATGGTTAAATGATAGAGAAGAGCTGGTTCATCGACCTCCGTTAATTAGCCAAAACTTGTTTGATATAACACCTACACCTGTTACAAAACCCATCTGTTAATCCCATTCTTATATGAATTTGTTATATATTGTAGTGCTATGTATGCAAAATAAAGAACATATATGTAGTAAGAAATTATTAACATTTTTTTTTCTCCTTTTCAATCAATGAATATATATCATAATTATTGCTAGTATTTCAGTTGACGTTCAATCCAAGTCTTTGATAGTATTGCCGGTATATAAAAAAAAAGTATGAAAAAAGCTAAAGCCTTCCTTCAGACAATCCCTCGAAAGTAGTGATATCATAAAATCGAAAGTATTTATGCCATAGATTCGAAATTATTTACTCAAAAGACTTAAAATGAGTCTAACGTGAAATTCCAACCAAGTGGCAGCGAAGTCCGCCATCAGTGCCGGATAGCGTCCACGACACCATGGCAGGACTTGCGACTCGCTGTTTCTCTCGAGGCCTTTTTAAGCCTTTCCAGACTCTGATTCAACCGAGAGTAAGTTCAGGCAGCCTTTTTATTAAACAATTACTCGCGAGGTTATTAATTTTGGGGATGAGAAAGGGAGGCAAGTTGCTGAAATAATGATAAAAAGGTAGTTTCTATTGGCTCTTTTTTTCTCCCCCCGGTTTCCCAGTCAGCTGATTTCGTGACAGGGAAAAACATGAGGGAATTCTTGTTTTATGACGTTCCTTATCGTAATTAAAATAGATCACGCGTGCTTTACGTATCGGATTTTAGTTTTCAGGGTTTAATGTATCCCGGTGGCATATGTCATAGAAAGTGTCATCGTGACCTGACCTTTGGCTCGACGTGTTGAATAAGTGGGATAATCCAGTCTGTTTTTTGTGTTTGAGAAATGCGTTAATGGTATTTGTGTAAGTCTGGATCATTTCGGGGGATAACTTAGTAGACATTTACAGTGAGTGAGATAGGGTACTGGCGTTTTATTGATCTATCTATTTTGATCTGTGGTTATCTATCTATCTATTTTATTCTGTGGTTATCTATCTATCTATTACAATCTGTGGTTATCTATCTATCTATTTTATTCTGTGGTTATCTATCTGTCTATTACAATCTGTGGTTATCTATCATACTTGCTTTCCTTCACATAGCCTCATTTTGGATAAATAGAAAATAGAGTCGACTTCACTAACTTCTCCAACTTCCTCAGGTTCCTGTGAGACATCTGAACCTGCTGGAGTATCAGAGCAAAGTGCTGCTGGACAACCATGGGGTCACTGTGCAGAAGTTCCGCATCTTGGATACGCACGAGGCTGCTGGCGAGACGGTTAAAACACTGAGTAAGGACCAACTAAGCTCATTTTGGACTGGGTGAAAGAGGCTCTTAAGCATAAGTCAAAAATAGTGTGTTGTATGTGTGTGTTTTGACTTGTTTGTTTATTAGATCATTCTTAAATCTAGGACTGCATTTACCTGAGATGAATTTTGAATTGCATTGGCCTACAGGGCTTTGATACTCTGACAATGGACTTGATGATTCCTTGAGTCACAGTAGAGGTTTCTCTGATGATTTTTTTTTCTTTTTCCTTTTCTTCATGACACTTACTGTAGTTTTTCCTTTCCATGCAGTCCTCTTTCCAATATTTATTAAGTTTGTATTGGTCAGTAGTAGCTAGTTATTTTATAGAATGTGATGATGTGGAATGTGATATTAAATTTAGCAAGATAGCAAAGATATCTTCTGACAGATAAAAGATAATACAATGTAATAGAATATAGTAAGGAGAATAGAATTGCAGGTAGTATATACTGAAGAGGACAGCACTAGGACAAACTCCAAACAGGCTTAAGGAAGACACAACTTCATCAGAAGAAGTTATAAGATCATGAGAAGTTGGGTCACAATAGATGGTTAATCATGCATAGGAATTTGAATCTCCAGATGATATGTGAAGCCTTATCTTCGCTTTGCCTCCTGACAGATGCTGCCGAGTATGTAGTGAAGGCGCAGATCCTAGCTGGCGGCAGAGGAAAGGGCCACTTTGACAATGGCTTCAAGGGAGGGGTTCATCTCACCAAAGAGTAAGACTTTGTTGCAGCTTAATCGGATAAAAGCACTTTTATCCTTGAACCATGAGGTGTAATTTATGGCACTTTGGTTGAATTTGATAAGGAATTATGATTTTGTATTTTCTTTTTCTTTTCTTTTGATGCTTGACTCAAAAAGTGTAACAGACTTTTGAAATTATATAATTTAGATTATGGAAAACATAGTGTAATAGAGAGAGCCTATTTTAATGATTTAGTTGAAGTACAAATATCCAACTGGTTGAGTATGGGAAATATTAGGTCACAAATGGCCTAAAATGAAGATAATAACAAAACAAGAAGATGGAACATATT